TGTAAACGTTGTACTTACCTCAATTTTGGTTGGTTATCGTATGCCGACAACCACGGGATGAAAACGAAACGAAGTCAGTTTTCCCGCTCAACCTGGAGGACAATTGTACAATTCAATAACTATACAGCCTAGTTCTGACAATGTGTATTTACATATATATCAAATATTTAACTGTTGAAACATTATTAACTTGTAGACAATCTACGATTTGATATTATATCATACTTGATCGTGCCTGTAAAAATGGCATGCATTTTCATGTAAATTTATATGTTTATATGAAAATATACATTATTATTATAAGTCATAGCATTATTGGAGAGGCTTCGTAGAAATTTATGCCATCGAAGCTGTCAATATGGTGAGGATTGAACGATCAATTCATGGTTTTTGCTCAAACTCACCCCTTTACTTTGAGAGGAGTCATCGATAGTGCAGCCATCATTTTATCGTTCGCTCTCCGTTGGAGGACAGAGAAAGACTATCAGAATTATTATTGTGATTTATAAGTGAAAATACAGTTTTTTGTTCGGCGAAGAAATTCCTTTTCAACGGCTTCATTTTCAAGCTGTACAGTCGTATTTATATTACAGAAAAAGGTTATTAGGTGGCACTAAATAACTGCTCAGTCAATATACATATATATGTGATTATAATAACGATAATTAAAATGTCATAAGGGTTAGAGTTGAAGTGAGTAAATTACAAAATTATCAAAAATTTTTTTATTAGTGAAATGATATCAAAAATGTTGTAAAAATGTCAAGTGTATATGTCGAGTGTAAAATCTGCTCTGCAGAGACGATCGATAGGGGACTAGATAACCTTCGATCAAATCTCGTTAACAATGGTTATCTTACAAGGTTTATTGAACGTGCCATCAAGAAAGAATCCGTCCCTATACAAATCACAGTGCTAAAGAGAAATCTGTTTATGAGTCTGGCATTCAAAGGTGACACCATTTTGGAATTGATTAAAAATCGTTTATCTAAATGCACTAAACGTACTTTTTCCTCAGCTGACTTTCAATTAGTTTTACCAGCCGAAAAATGATTAGACAATGCGTCAAGGATAGATCACTGCTTTTGTCCAAATCTATGTGTATTCAATCTTTTACCTGCTCTTGTAGAGCTGATTATGCTGGACAATGTAAGCGTACTCTCCGAAAACGTGTAGCTGAACAGTATCCGGTTTGGATAATGAAAGGCAAACGTAGAACTGCGAAGTCGTGTATTTGTAATCACCTATTAGAATCCGATCATCTAGCCCCACGTGATTCATCCTTCAAAGTTATCTACACGGCAAAATCGAATCGATCCAAAAGTTTGCGTTTTCTTCACCTATGCACAGCCGAAGCTTTAACTATACATAAGCAGAAACCTAAATTATTGTGATATATTGTTATGAGATTTATTTTTAGACTTTGTGTACAATAACCTAATGATTGGCTCTGTATCGGTGCAAGAGTAAACAGTCCTTGAGTCACCAATTTGTGTTCCGGTTTCTTGCGTTGGTTATTACGCATAGTTCCTGAAAGTCTTCCGAGGACAGCGTGAGGTCCAGTGTAGTAATACCCAGACATTGACAGAAGCAGAATGTGAATTTTACGACTTAAGGAGTTCCTGTCCCAGATGAATTAGTTAAACCATGGCGCGAGTGCCCCTCATCCACCAGCGACACAATGATGTTATGGCTATATTTTGACAGAACTGGGGAGCGCAGAAGTAGGCTGATGAAAGGAATGGTTGCAGCTGCAGCAAATATCATAGTCCATAAGTCAATTTTTTCTATTAAAATTAAGACTCGCGGTAGGCCCAGTTTGAGACTATATATGAATTATCAGTAAAAGATATGCACGCAAAACACTGCATTTGTCAGCCAACTCTCATAAACTGTCAATGTCCAGCTCTTACTACGCTAGACCTCACGCTGTCCCCGGAAGACTTTCAGAAACGCTTTGTATTAACCGACGCGAAAAACCAGAATACAGACTGGCGACTCAAGAATCCTTTATTCTTACGCCAATGTGTAACTAACAATAAAGTTATACACAAGGTCTAAGAAGAAACGTTGTAACAACAAATCACGATCATACTTCTGATAGCTTTCTGTCTTCCACTGAACAGCGAACGATGGAACGATGACTCCCGCCGAAATATAGAATTGGGTTTTTGAGCAAACAACCATGAACTGATCGTTCAATCTTCAAGTACATTGACAGCATTTGTTGAAAATAATGAATATTTCAATCAGTATTCTTCATTTTAGGTCTTCCATATTAGCTATAGAGTCTTCTTTGGAAGGGTATGTCAGTTCTGAATATGAAATTAATTATAAATTTTGGGTTTACCTACAGATTTTTTTCTCAATATCAATGCTGACGATAAAGAGTCTGGGACTTTCTGCAGTTAAAATTCAGGCGACTTGATATAAACTTTATGTTTCTAAAATATAAAGTAAGTTATGCATTCACATAAATGTAACAACACAAGGGCACACGTCATTTAAAGGAAGATGAAAACGTACCGGACAGTAATGACTTGTGGAACAAAGTGACTGACGAATTTCTTTACATACATACAATAAACAGAATACAACATTTATCTATAAGTGGTGGGCGTTTACATTATATTAAACAGTCATCACGAAAGACAGGTCATGTCGTACTGATTGGTGAACTGTCGCAGGCAAAGTTAAACTTTCGACACCACCAACTACCAATCAGCAAACGACCTTGAAACGGACAAATCACATTAAAGAGGCATATATGATGAATGGAAACGTATATTAACAAGAAAGAAGCATAAAAAAGAGAATAAAACGGTTACAAAGGGTATCTTTCTGGAACATGTGAGAGAAACATCTCCCAGTTTAGCATGGGACTGTCAATGGAGAAGTTACACCACATCCTGTACATATATTCATCTAAATGACTATAAATGAGATCCTTTTGAGATCCATTTAAAGCCCTTATCCTGTTTTTCAAGCGGCCCGAAAACCCTTCAATGGAATTCGTATGAGTCGTCGTAACGGGATCCGCGAAATCACTTGAATGTTTCACTCTGTGATGAATATACCTCAGAGATGACAGCGAATTATATCCTTTCCACTCGTTCGTGTGTATAATTTACCCCCGTTTAACAAGTCTCGTTATAATAGGTATTAAAGTGGTTGCTTTTTTGTTAGCTGTCCATTCAACGAATCCCTTTCGGAAGGAGATGTCGTATAAACCTAATACTCAAATGTTGTTTGCTCGCTGGCGACCACGGTTGTATTGATTTTTCCCCAGCACAGTTTCATCGACATGCACAATAACGTCTTCTCCACTCAGCAAAGAAGTGATTTTCTCTATTTCCCACGAAGCAACGTCTCTGCAATGCTGGTACCACTGAACTGTTGAGACGAGGCTATTCTCTGTCTCGGCAGCTGCTGCTCTCACCGGCTGTTTTAACACCCAGTAGTTGCAGATATGCAAAATCTGGGTTAGGGAGAGATGCAACTCAGCGAAAAAGGTTCCTACGAAATATTGAAATTATCAGCTTACCCTCTCCAGTGTTAGTAGACTTAAAACATATAGCACAACGACGAACAAATCCATCAGTTGATCTTCTATAGCTTTTCAAAATCATGATACCACCACACGAACACGTCCTTCCGGAGCAACCCTAAATCCAAACAATACCGGAAAACACTGTCCTCCTCGAATTGCAACCGTAAACTTGTAAGGGCATGCATTTGAAATGAATCAAGCGCTATACAACATGGAACTACATTCGTGAACCTCATTGGATAATTAGACATCGTTCGTGAATCTCATTGGATAATTCGCTGATTGGTAGTTAGTGGTGTCGAAAGTTTAACTTCGCCCTGTCACATGCCTGTCTGTCACCGTCAACATCATGGTAAGTCCATATTGGTTGATGTACCATCATAAAGTATGTATGCCGCCATTGACATATTGATTAATATACTGTTATAATGTCTGCTGGCCATGAAAACACTCTATGGGTTACAAAAGATGGAAGCAATGATTATGATGGTACCCAAACACAAACCGTGGAAGAGAAGACGATCTGCAAGATCGTACGCTTATATATCATTTCCGGCCTAAAAGAGCCTTTTCGAAAGCTTATGCAGATGACCTAAGCAAAGGACTTTTTCAAAAAGAGGGCGTTCATAATTTTTTGATAGGAAGGGATCCCGTTCCGAACGGAAGCACTTGACCTTTAGGTGTGAGAAAGCAGAATTCGCTTCATGAAAAATCAGTGTCAGTCTAATAAAGCCATCAGGTAGTGGTGGAACTCACTGACACTTTTCTTCAATTTAAATGCTCAACAAGGGGGGCTATATACAGAATATGGATTATATTCAAGGTGGTGGGAAGGTGAAAACCTCAGCCATTTAAAACAAAATGTCGCCTGGGTGTGAATGATGAACTCATAATTCACCTTCCTAACTAGGAAGAAAATGGACATGGCTTGAACCAGATAGATGCACTGAGGAGTCTCAAAATATGAAGAACCATGTCGCTCATTATCCGACTCGAAAGGTAAATAAATGCATATCGGCATACATAATTATCCACGCAAACTTCGTTCGTGCATGAAACTGCAGGTAATGTACAAGAGTTAATGTTGGTTCAGTCGCAGTGGTGCGGTGTCTTAATTCATTTATCGATCGAGACTTCAAAAAATTGGTCAGGAAAAGCAAAAAGAAAGTTCTTCCATCAAGAAAAGGCAAAGGAAGCTTTTTTCTTCTTTTGGAGACAATTTACAATAATTTCAACTTGGTGTCATAAAATTTCAGTCTGTGTCACTGAACGCGTAGAATTAATCAGCGCTAGGCAAGGATTCACAGCGTAGTAATCGAGTTCAAAGTCTGATTTTACTAGCCTGTTCCAACTATTCTGGTTACTGTCGTTGGAACATTGTTCTAAAAGCGGTATTTCAACTAGGCGTTTTGGTGGCATATTTAACGCCTCTCATAGCGTTCCTAGGCAAATGGTAATTGGTTTGTGGGCCTTTTGCTTCTGTTACCCTACTCTCTTTTGTGACTGTTATACTGAATTATTCTGACCTATTATGTAGGAGGTGTATATGGTTGTTCGGCGTAAGAAGACAAACATTCACCTTAATGCCAAAGAAACGAGTCTCGTCCTGGAGGTGAAGAAAATGATTGAAGGAATTCTCAAAGTTAAACCCGAGGACCAGATGCTTTTGAAGCACCAAACTGAAATGGAAGACGAAAAAACTCTCAGCTATTATAACCTGAACAGTCAAACCGCAAGAGCCCATACACCAGCCACGTTAGGATTATGTTTACGTGACCCAGGTAAGTTCGTACTGAATACCAGTGTAAATATGTTCCAATAAAATGTAGCCATTTTAAGCTTCCATGAACAGGCCGAGTGTTCATCCAAAATTTTATGAGGCCTGTAATTCAGTAGTGTTATGAATTGTGATTGCTAAACGCTAATACGTCAGCCTCTTACATATCTGTTTTTCAAGCTTCTAACTCGTCGCATTGTTTATTGTGTTTAAATAACTAGTCGCATTCAAGTATTAATCACTAAATATATTTGGTTTTTCGTGCTAAGGGGAGCACATGAAAACCATCGATATTTTTCATAGGATAAAATAGTGTAAAGTACATGCCGCGGTAACTTTTAGCGAGGATATTCTGTGGTTCCGATACTTGGGAGAATAAGACCTTACTGCGGGTCTTCATTTCTGCACCATGACAATTTTTATTAAGAGTGGTTGACAAGTTTCGTATGATGTAAATATTACAGCTTTTGGTTGCTGACGTATTGTGAATCTGGTCTAAATCTGTTTGTTCATTTAAAAAGTTTTATATGAATCCTCTCAGTATTAAGTTATTTTTAGCGAGATTCATAATCAGATTCACAATTTGGATTATATTCTATAACTGTAACCAAAACAAGGAATTGAGGAACTGTTGCAGTATTTAGTTTTGGATTGGCTATGTTACTCAGACTAAACTGTTATACAGTGGTATTTTTAATCAAGATAAACATGATGTTATTTTGTTTGTTTTTACTGATGACAGTATGTATCGAATATCTTGGAGATAGCTGTCGCCACCGGTCAATAGTCACTAAATACGACTTCCAGTTGGCATCATGACAGTTAATTGAAGATATCTGAAGATAGTACTTAAATTGGGAATTGTAGAAGTGGTTGACTGTAAAGGCAGTGTTGGTCAAGTATACCATACTATCCAAAGCTGTTTGCTAAATTTCACATAAATGGTTCATAATTATGGTGTATAGTCTATTTTCATTCGTTTTTGGCTGTTATAAGTTTATAGATAAGGTCGTCTATCTACTTTCAAATAATTACAGATATGCTGAAATGGTGGAAGTACGTGATATTGTAGTTGTTCCATAATAGGAGGGTCAGACTGCTAACAACAGAATCAAAAGGACTTCCCTACATTTACAGATTTGACATTTAAGTTTTAATGTTGTTTAGTTGTGGTGACGTACTGGGTACTCATCATTAACCGATATTAATTTTTCCCTTGTTTATACGTCTAAAAACTGCCTATGTTTAAGATAGACAAACAGTAGTAAGTGTGGAAGACAACCTTTGCACCTGAAAGTTACACAACTAACTGTGAGTTCGAGGTCAAAATCGTTTCAAAACCCTAATAAGGGTCTGTGTGATCAGTCCCTTCCGAATACATCTTTATTTATATTCGGTGCCCGTTGTTCTGTTGACAGTTGTAGAGTGTACGCACAATAGTTAGAAGAGGTTAGTCCCCAAAAATGGTGTACATAAGGGGAAAGGCCATATAGTCCTATTTTGTTACTGACATTCATGAAGATGTAATATCTCAATTTTCACACAGACAATAAGACGGCAATTCAATAATGATTCCGGTTTTAAACAATAGTTATAGCAATTTATGTTTGCCCATACTGATATAATTTAATGTTTTTAAATATAGATGAACGATTTAAAGAGTATTAGTAGAAATACTGTTTCATATCAAGCGACTTCAGGCAGAGGTGAACTACATTTATATATATATATATATATATATATATATATATATATATATATATATATATACGCATTTCGCACCTCATGAACAGAAAGTTCCTTGTTATTTTATGAGATACGTATGTTGAATTGGCTTATTTATCACTCTGACCTGCTCGCATTGAGCACTAACTTGTTAGGTCAAATTAATCTAAACTGTTTTGGGCGACAGTTAAGCGGTCCTTAATTTACTAATATGTTTTGCTCACTTAAGCCAAACTACCCGACTATGTATATGCCATACGGACGTATCAACTTTGCTAATGTTTTCTTAAGGTTGTTAACATTTCTGAAACGCCCTTATAAAGGTAGGGGAAAAGAATGCTATGAAACAACAGTGGATGAAGATTTACAGGAGAGATAGAGAAAGAGTTGCTAGGTGTAGAGTGTTGGGCAAAGAGGGAAAATCAATCGACGAGGCTATAAAGTTACATAGACTAAGATGGCTAGGTCACGTGCTGCGCATGCCTAACCACCGCCTCCCCCGACGGGCATTGCTAGCTGATATAGGTGCAGGTTGGAAAAGAGCCAGTGGTGGCCAAACAAAAACATGGCCTCATCAATCCATGAAATCCTTGACAGTTAAACTGAGTCAGGTAGGGAGGGAGATGCAGACTCCCGGGTTGGGGGCCTCGGGACTCTAGGAATCAATGGCTGGAGACAATAGGTGACATGGCTCAAAATCGTTGTCAATAGCGCAGATGTATTCAGTCTCTGTAATCTTTCATATTTCTTTCTACCATTACCCATTCTGTTTCACTCTTATACTTATCAAACTCTATTGATTCTCTTCACTCTTGTCTACCTCTGTGTGCTATTTGGAACGTGGCAACTCGAACTGGTGCACTTCGGTGCCAAGTTCTATGTTGAATCCAGACAGACAGACAGGTGGATGACAAAAAGTAGTAAATCCTTGAATTGAATTTTTCGATTTTCCCGTCGATTGATTGGACCGAAGTGCTCGGTCTCAGGTTGACATGTCGGCTTCTTGTGCAGATGCTTCGACGATGTCTGGGCATTTAATTAGTATACGATTGGTGGATGGTGGCTAGCAGTGGAATCCAGGATGCGCATTTCGTCCTATTAAATAAATAAAAATAAAAAATTCAATTCAATAATTAATATGACCCGTTGCACAAGAGGTGGCTCTCGTGGCCCAAGTGGTCTAGTGGATAACGCTTTGGCGTTTGAAACTATGGGCACTGGGTTCGAGCCTCGGTGGGAAAATCATCACTCACTGAGAAATGCAGGTACATCCAGTTGATGAGTCCGAAATAGGACGAAATGCGCATCCTGGATTCCACTGCTAGCCACCATCCACCAAATTGTATACTAAGTAGTAAATCCGTCTGCAATATTGAGAAGACTATAAGCCATTTTGCCAACAGTCTTCAACCATTAATTCGTACCATCTTCAAGATCTTTGTCAGGTGGTCTGTATATCCCCACATGGTTCAGATCAACCATCAAGGACTTTGTGGATTGATGCTACAATTTTTGGTCTGACTTCTCCGAGCCAGGTGCATTACACAGAATAGTCATTTGATTTTTCATTTTTATGTATAGTGTTATTGTCTTCGCTTGTCATTATTCAAATTTCGATTTCCAGCAACTCTGTGATCTAGTATCGTTTAGATTTTTGATGGGAAATGGTCATTGCGCACCAAAAATAGAAAAGTATTCATCCCTGTGCAACCTTAGTACTCATAGGTATCTAAATAAACTTTTATGAGACAGTCTAAGTAGGATTAATCTTGACTTTTGCGATCTATGTATTTTCGCTATCATGTAAAAAATGTCAAGCTATGAAATAAATTTTCAAATTCCCAACATCTCTTATAAGGGGCTACCTTTTGTAACAGTTAGTTTACGTATCACGTGGCGTTTGGCATTGAGTTATGTTGATTCATCGTGTTGATTGTATCGTGGCATCTGACTTGCGCATAGACTGCTTGACTCAGTGGTTGCACTGAAGTGCAGCAGTTGATGTTGCCACACTCCATATAGTACAGAAATGAAAACAAAAGAAAAACGAGATTCAAAAAGATGGTAATAAACAGGAATATGAGGGAGGAATAATAGTAGCATGGGAAAACCTAAGGGCTTATTGGATTTGAAGGATTTCAAAGAGTGAATGCGCCTGCACCATTGAAAACAATTCTCAGTCATATGACCAATTATCTACAGTTATTGTTTCTTATCACGTCGAGGACGCCAACCATGAAGCCCTTACACCTGTCTTTATGGCTTAAATTAACTGTCAAAGATTTCATGGACTGGTTTGATCCCATCCTCCCTGTCTCCAAATTGGATAGGCAGTTTACTTGGTATGCTGGTCATTTGAGGAAAATATTTTACTGTTGTTACTTCCCTGTATGACCTGCAGAAACATTAGTTCCAATCAGTGTAGCTTGTTGGATCATTGAGACATGCAAGCTTTGACTACCATGTCAAGGTAGCAGTTATCGGTCGGGTTATAGACTCGCCTTCCTATAATTCTTTTGCGTTTTTCCTTTTCATCTTGTTTTCAAGAATGTAATATGAAGGTGGTCAAATTTTGTGTATTCTAATAAGTTATTGAAAATTCCAAATAACTCATGTTTAGCGGTTCGCCAAATTTTTGTTATGTACTGGTCGAGTAATTAATAGTCCTGACGCAAGAAAGACGGAAATCAGAAAACCACCAGGTTCACGATGATACTTGTATTTTTCAAACAACAAGGAAAAATCAATCTCACACAAGTGTATGAGCGAATGTTCAAAAATGAACGAATCAATAGACAGTCTTAACATGATTGGTTGTAATGTCATGTGACAACAAGGTCAGACATGTTTTTTTAGTTAGTGGACAGACAAAAACATATTGTCAATTATAATGGAATTCGATCCATATATACATAGCAAAATATAACAGACTGTCAAAAACAAACACACATATTATGTGGATACATATCACCCCCCCTTTTGGGAAGATTGATGATTAGTAGCGTGTTTTCTTGGGGGTTTATCTGGAACCGTTGAGCTTGTTGTTGACGTCTTTCGCTTCGTCTGCCTGTTGGGTTTGCGGCTTCGGCTTCGTCCGGGGTTGTCTAACATTTTATGCTTCTTGACTGCATTGCATATCGAATTTAGTGGGACGTCAGCCAGATGCAAACGATCGAACCAATCAAGTCCCAAAAGATTTAAATCACTCTTGGTGACGTAGCGAATTCCTGTGAATTTGATATTGCGGAATGATACAGAACATTTGAGTTCACCAATTAGTTTGAGCCGCTCACCACAGGCGCTGACAAGAGTCTGGGAAGTATTTGTGATAGGTGGTCTGCCAATATCATTCCAAAGTTTCTCTGATATAACAGTAATATCAGAGGCGGTATCTAACTGCAGACGTGTATCATGACCATTCATCTGAAGATCACGGTATTTCCGCATACCTGGTGTTGGTTTGTAGGGATTTCAGTGATTGGTTACAGGATTTCATCATGAGCTGACATTGGTTAGGGAACCATTGGAAAACCTAGGAGTACTGGATAGCTGTTTCGTCCTAGTTTAAGACTCTTCAACAGTACGCACCCACCGGGGTTCGAACCCAGGACCTTCTAGTTGCAAGGGTGCAGTGGTCGATTGTGAGGACAAATACTCGCCGAAGGCATTGGCTAGGGGTCGCGCTATGTCATGAATTGGCTGAAGTTAGAATTCATGGACTGGCTATTGTGTGGGGTCCCAGTTTTTTAATGGTCTACGAGCTCACTGGCCTTGTAACCAGAAGGTCCTGGGCTCGAACCCTGGTGGTGGGCGCGTACTGATGAAGGGTCCCAAACTAGGACGAAACAGCTGTCCAGTACTCCCTGCAGGTTTTTCCAATGGTTCTCTAACCAATGTCAGCTCATGATGAAATCCTGAAATTATATTGTTTTGTTTCTGGAAAACTGAGGATTTCTGATTAGGGTGTAGAATTTCTACTGGACTTTTCTGATCTCTAAGTGTAGTTTCTCCCTTCATCCCTTTGTATCTGAGTGGTATGTAAAGCTTCAGTCTTGAGGTTTGAAGTTCGAGAGAAGTGGTTGTAGTTTTTCATAGTGCGGGGCTGTAAACCTCGAGCTCAACCTTTCCTCTTCCCTCGACTTATTATTATTTTCTTTAATTCCTAGAGTAACATAGGGCTTCAATCGCACGTTTCCATTGCGTTCGGTTCTCTGCTAGAGTTTTCACCTGGCTCCAAGTCTGCCCACATGCTTTCATCTCCTCTTCACATGACCTCCTCCAAGCCAACCATCACTGCACTGACGACCGACTCACCGCTTCCCTTTTGGGTTCCACTCGAGCAATGGCTTGTCTAGTGATGTCACTTGATGGTTTGTTTGCTCAGAGTATGGCCAATCCATCTCCACTTCTTCCTGCCTATTTGTTTCACAATCAGTTCCTGGTTGGTTCGCTCGTTGCCAGAGATCCCTGTTACTGATCTTTTCTGACCAGCCATCTGATTTTGAGTGGTATTGAGCGAAGAAACTGTTAATGAAGGTCTGCAGTTTGTTCGAAGTGCCTTTCGTGATGCAGCGCCAAGTCTCTGATCCGTATAGTAGCACTGACTTCATATTGTAGTTGAAAATCCAGATCATATTTTTGATGCTGAGTGCTGTTGACCTCCACATAGACCTGAGATTAATGAAAGCTTGTCTTACTTTCCCGTTCCTCACTGCTTTGATATCCTCACCAGTTCCGTCCGCTTGAAACGATGTTTCCCATGTAGGTAGGTAAAGAAGGTTGTTTCTTTCAGGTTCTTCCCATTCATGCTGGTTGATTGTTGTCTGTTGTTGTTGTCATCGCTTTTTCTGTTGGTCAGGAATCTTCATCATCTCTGTTTTATCTATGTTCACCTGAAAGAAGTCCTATCTTCTCTGGATGCTTCTTCTGCCAACTTGTTGCTTTCCACTTGCATATCTTCTAGTTTGTGGGAAATCAAACATATATCATCTGCGAGGTCCAGATTCTCCAAGTTTTTTGTGTGAGACCATTTTATACCTGTTTCCTCGCTAACTGTTGTCTGTCGCATTATCCCATCTACTGCAATCAGGAAAATCATTGGCGATAGTAGGCAGCCAGGTTGTCTTACTCCCGTCTTCACTTCGAAGGATTCCGTAAGTTTCTCGTTGTGGATTACTTGGCATGCAGCATTGTCGTACAACTACTGTTCTTCCCTTGACTTACTAGCGACTAATGGAGGTATAGGAGTGTTTCGGCCATAAATCAATCAAACCTTGAGCCACGAGCTATCATAGTATGAAGGAGTTAACGAGATAGGTAACATCACATCGCTTCAACCTGTTTTGAATAGTGCTATTATCTTGCATTCTTTATCTAGACGAACTGTACAACTTTTTATCACTTGTTTTATTTTCTTATTTTGCCTAATTATCGATTTGCATACTTATTTTTTTTATATAGCCACTGAAAAATTCGAGGTGTTGGATATAACACCGTATTCAAATCCACCTGAATTACCAGAGGTGATGCGATCTCAGGAGAATCTACCACCACAAAATGCTCCAGAACTTGTAGGTCAAGCAAAACCATAGAATTTTCCTATTTGCAAAATAAAAAAGAAAATCGCTTCAGAAGACAGACAGACAATCTATCTAATATTGGTTCCTTTTCGATCAAAATAAAAAATGTATCTTATTCTATTTGTAGGCCATGACTACTTTCTAGAGTTATCAGTGTCTTCTCACAGTTTGGTTTGGTTTGGTTCGGTTCGGTTCGTGTATGTATGTGTATGTGTGTGTAATATAAGTCCGGTTTGTGCTTTACCAATCTGTTTCCAATAGAAATTTATTTTACTTCGAAGCGATTACATTCAACCCAGCCTATCCATCATTATCAACATCATCATTAACAAGTTGCGTGTGAAATTTCACTTGGTGATCATATTGATAATAATAATAATAACAATAGTAATAACGGCGTTGATGATAATAACAATACAATTTTGCCTAGCATCCTTCTTTATACTATTGTGTAAGCTTGTGTATAAATTTGTACACGTGATCAAGAATTCAGTATCTATCTATCTCTTTTTATTTCTTCTCCATGTCTTAAATCAGAACTAGGCTTGATCTTTGTATTCCTCTTGTTATTCTTCTACTTCATCTTTTTCTATAGTACATATTATAATGTTACCCTAATCATCATTTAGCTCGTTATGCTTTCATTACTAATATTTTTTCTTGAAGAATATCTCTATTTTCTTTCCCTTCCTCTGTTTCTATCTCCCTCTGTCAGTGTGAGTGCGTGTGTGTTTGGGTGTGTCTCAATATAAAGTACTTCAATTGTTTTTTCTTGTTCATGTGTAATTCCACTGGCGTCGGTGGTGGTGGTGGTAGTTGTTCAATGGGAGAAAGTTTTTCAGGCATAGATTTGGGCAGGGTTCGATTCCCCGCCGATGCATTCCTTAATCTCTTTGAATTGAATGTAGAATCCGTAGACAGAGAGATAGAGAGAGAAGGTTGGACGTGTATATATATATATATATATATATATGGCTAGCAACCCTCAACCTGTAAAAATATCCATCACTGCTACTGAAACACTTCAGAGTTCAAAGTTGCGGCTGTGTATTCCGCTTAGAATTCAAAGGAATCAAAGAAATGTATTTCAAGGTGTTGGTGTGTTAAATATTAAAATTGCCAGGTGAACTTCTGACAGTTCACTTCTGTGTGCGTCATTTGTATTGTCAGTATCGATCACTTTACTGTGCTAATTTCAAATGCTTACATTGTATCTTGAAATCGCCTGGAATATCAAGTTTGATCATGAATTAATGAAAACAAAACACGTAGATCAGCGAAGAGTCTCTTTTCGCCGGTGAATTCATTCACGCTTAGGTGTACAATCGCAAATATACATATGTGTTATTTTGTATGTATGTGTACATTAAGTTTGTCAAACAAAAATACAATTGATTATAGTTATTTTATCTAAACAGGTGAAGATTGGTAATTGCAGTTAAGTAATACAAAATCAGTCAAGAAAATTAGGTGTTAATGAAATTAGGGTAGTAACAAAGGTGATGAGTTGTCACAAACAGTTGTTAAAAAAGAAGTTATGTAATAATATGAGTAGTTTGATGATGATTGAGTTTTACTCAGGATGCACATAGAAACAAAGAAGCGAATTCGAAGTTACGTAAGAGTTCTAAATGAATACAAGAATTATAAACAATTAAAGAACAGGCAAAGAAGCAAAATTAAGTCATCAAAATCAACAAAGTTATTACCATGACAGTAGAAGTGGTCGAGTAATCCTCTCTTGTATACACAGCTCCGGTTTTTCTGTGTGAATGGTCAGAGCTTCAGCGATATAAAGAAGATGAAACCGTATTGCCTTTGATAGGTTATTCTTGACTCTGTAGATTACTTTGAAGGAGGAGGCGTTTGTTGAGATGGAATGATCAGTGTTAACCAGGTGTTCAATTATCGCACTCCTTATTTGCGCCACTATCGCCTTTTCGCAACCATGCTGGATAGTGTTCTTGAATCCTCTTGGACAGCGTACGCGTCGAGCGACCGATGTACCTGGCTCCATAGTAGCAGGTGAACTGATATATACACATAGAAGTGTTCAGATGCGGGATATTGTCCTTGAGGCTTCTGCAGATCAGTGGGCGACTGGAGGACACTATTCTTAGCGTTGCTTCAAAGAATGTTCTCATAGATGATGTGATCCTTCGCTTGAGAATATCGCTTGCTAAATCTCCCTTGAAATCCAAGTTCATGTAGAGTTCCTTTTTAGGTGCAAGTGAAGTTTCATTTCAAATTCTTGGTTTGATGCTTTTGTCAATGAATCTTATTGGATATCCATTTTGGATGATCTCTCTTAGAATATCTAATTCTGTTTCCAGAACGTCGGATGCGGATGGCAAGTAATATAATCAAATTCCGCTTTTCTTGAATGGGTACCCAGCTGTAGAGGCTTGTTAGCAAACCATTCCACGGAGGATTTTTTGTTTTGACTTTTGATTTTGATGACTTAATTTTGCTTCTTTGCCTGTTCTTTAATTGTTTATAATTCTTGTATTCATTTAGAACTCTTACGTAACTTCGAATTCGCTTCTTTGTTTCTATGTGCATCCTGAGTAAAACTCAATCATCATCAAACTACTCATATTATTACATAACTTCTTTTTTAACAACTGTTTGTGACAACTCATCACCTTTGTTACTACCCTAATTTCATTAACACCTAATTTTCTTGACTGATTTTGTATTACTTAACTGCAATTACCAATCTTCACCTGTTTAGATAAAATAACTATAATCAATTGTATTTTTGTTTGACAAACTTAATGTACACATACATACAAAATAACACATATGTGTATTTGCGATTGTACACCTAAGCGTGAATGAATTCACCGGCGAAAAGAGACTCTTCGCTGATCTACGTGTTTTGTTTTCATTAATGCCTGGATGGGGATTATCCATGAAATGATCATGAATCGATTTCAGTTAAAGAGGCATTAAAGATGTTGAGAGTACTGGACAAGTGTTTCATCCTAGTTTGTAACCATCAAACAATAGGTGCCCCAGGAACTTCAAGTTAAAACATGAGTCCATTGGCCAATCAGCCATTAGGAGAGAATCCAATATCAGTTCTGATATCTGCCATATATCTGCGATATATATATGTCATCGATGAGTGTTTGTCCTTATAACTAACATGGTGGTGGATGCCACTGGTCACGACTTCTCGCTAGAGAGCCAGGCAATTTTGCCCTGTAGTCGTCAGTCACTAATCAGGAATCAAGTAGTGATGAAATACCGATTATGTTGAAGTGTTATGAAATTATTTATAATCAAAGAATCATTCCACCCTTTTTTTCTTCTCGTTTATCAATTATTAATTGATTTATTTATTGATTTGCTGATGTTTGACTGACTGATTGGTTGAGTTTCAACATAGAATTTTTTCATAGAAGTCCAGAAAGCAGTTCAAGTTGCCACATTCTCCATGTAGTACATAAAGGTAGACAAAAGACAAGAGAAAGAGATTTAGTAGAACTATAATGAGCAAAAATATACGCGACATGGAACAGAACAAGGAGAAGCATGTGATTTGGGAGGTCACAAGAAGTGAACATGCATCTTCGCCAGTGAGAACGATTTTCAACTGTATCAGTAGTAGTTTGAAATCATTTCTTCTTAGCAATATGATGCCGAAAATCCCAACGAGGCAGCCTATACTTCTCTATGTAGATTGAACCTGTTATAACTGTAGGGAATTGAATGAAAACGTTTTTACCTTGCTCTGTCTGCGCCTGAACTAATCTGCCTATCTGCTTGTCGTACCTTCCGATTTAGTAAAGCACGCAAATATCAAAAGACAAAGGCTGGACTGTGTATTGAAGTGCAACAACGACAAAGAAAGCCATGGTATTTATACATTTTACAACAATATGGACAGCTAACAGCATTTGAAATAATTGATCTTAATAGCCAATAACAAAGTGCGTGAGAGATGATAATATACCATATGTGCGAGATTGACAGTCAATAACAAAATGTGTGGGAATGATAATATACCATATATGCAAGATTAACAGTCAATACCAAAATGTGTGAGAATGATAATATACCATATACACAAGGTTAACAGTCAATACCAAAATTTTAATTTTTCTAATTTTTTAATTTTTGATTACAGCTTGATTCCACACTGTATTTTTGGTACAAGTATGGAATTTTCAGCGTGGATATCGGTAGCCCAAATTTCGCAGGCCGACCATAGATATCAGGTGTGCGCCGGCGTGGGCTCGAACCCCGGACCATGTGCATGTTCGGCGAGAGTCCTAACCACTGTGCCACCGACGCACTGTGGGATCCTATCAGAACCAACAGTCAAATACTTCATGCAACAAAAATATTCATTCAGACATCTATAATACACAAATTAATTGAGCAAAGAATGCCCTTTCGATAAATTCCTCTTCTGGTTGCTCTACAATTATATATATATATGTTTATATATATATATATATATATATATATATATATATATATATATATATATATATATGTTTATATACATAGAATATTCTAGATTAGTAGTCAATAGCAATATTAGTGTTTTTTAAAATAATATCTATTAGTAAAGTAACATCAATGCAATTACAGTTCATTAAAGATGCTTAAATTATAATAATAATAATAATAATAATAAAAATAAAGATATAGTAGCAAATAGAATATCAACTAAAATTAGGAAAATTCCACAAAAATTCAGGATCATTCAAATCTAGATTGCCAAGGTAATGATAATGACTGAACTAACTTCTTTTGGACGCACAAATTAGGCTTCTTAATGTGGATCCCCACAGCCAGCCTCATCAGTATTTAGTAGTCAAACTCTTAAGACGAAAATTGAGATTCGTAGGTATACGGTTAATGACCCTGAAAGCATGGTTAACGTCAATCTTGTGTTCTGTATCCACAAGATGCGATAGAATAGCGCTATGTGAATAGATTTTGTTTGTCATTTGCTTAACCACCACTGAGCAGGGTGATGTTCGGAAATTCGACGGGAAACACGCCTAATTGTGCGGCCTATGTAACTGGCTCACTCCATAGGAGCAGTTAAATTTGTAGATATACATGGAAGAGGCGGAATTGGGCAGTTTGTCTTTTACTTCCGAACGCAAAAGAGGAATGGTTTTGAGGATACAGAGTAATTCGGCAGCAGGGAATACTCTATTTATCGCATTTTAAGGCGCTGTGCTATTATCTCACTGGTGTTGTCCCCAAGGAACTGCAATTGTAAGAATAAGGCCTTTTTTGGAACTGTTGGTAACTTTGGCTGCTTTGGTTTTTAGATTCATATTCCTATCAATAAACTTTTCAGGGTAACCATTTTCACTTAGCAACCGTTTAATGTTATTTATTTATTTATTTATTTTTTTGATTTACAGCTTGATTCCACACTGTATTTTTGGTACAAGCATGGAATTTTCAGCATGAGTATCGGTAGCCCAAATTATGCAGGCCGACCATAGATATCAGGTGTGCGTCGGCAAGGGATCGAACCTCGGACCATGTGCATGGTCGGCGAGAGACCTAACCACTATGCTACCGGCGCATATATATATATGAAGAAAATATATACATCTATAAGTGTAGGTTATGTACATTTGACAGTTTTTAATAAATTTTGACGTAAGTAACCATCTGTTTTACGTGATAAAGGCAAGACTAATTTTGATAACACATCCAAAATTCCGGAGCCAATGAATGCATTCTCACAATTGCTGTTAGCCCATGTATCTGGAAATTCATTTGAATGACATACGTTGTTCTCATTAGACTCTTCATTCGAATTATTAACTGTTAAATGCTTAAGTAAATCATTCCCAAAGTATGTTCGACTAATCCCAGTGTTCCGTAATAATTCGAGACCACTAGAACGTTTCCGTAGTGGGATAATATCCCGATGCCCTATGCCAGAGATATAAGCTCCAACACATTGAACATAGTCTTGTTCATCTAATTTACTGTCTACTGAAATTGATTTTTGCGCAGCTAATTCGACCAATTCTTGCCACAGTGTATATAAATTATCATCCAATTTTGGTGATCCTAACAAATTGATTTCAGACTGATCAATTTCATTTGCTGAATGCTCTCCTTCAAACTCAATAGGATCACTTAATTCGTTTACATCCCAATTTTCTGGACCTGACATTTGTTGCCTGATTTGCGTCGACAAGGTCTCTAAAGTATCCACAGTGAACATAACATCTGATTTGCTTTGAAGAATGTTGTCATATTTTTCAGCTTCTTCGCTATATAACTGCACTGAATTTGGATCATTATAATTAATAGTATAATTATAACTTGATAACTCAAATTTATCTGTTGTTTCGATAATTTCGGGTGAAAAATTAATTATAGATGATGGAAGTAATGAATCTAACTCAGTATCTGAAACATCTTCGCACTTTAGTTCATCTAGGAATTCACAAAGAGCCTGTACCTTCTGTTCATTTAGTTCCTCATTAAGACATTCATCCTAGCAAATACCTCTTGCTCTGTGAACCAAGCACTTTATCAGATTGCGTTTATATTTCAAGGGCATAAAACTGAGAAAATGTGTGTATTGACCCGTTGATGTAGGTTTTTTATGTAAACACTTCTTCTTATTGTGCCATCCTCTTTTCTGGTCATAAGGACGTCTAAAAATGAAATACTAGAGTCGTTTTGTTTCTCAATAGTAAAATTTATTGCAGAATGAACTTCATTAAATTTATCCAGGATGCTCTTTGCTTCCCTCGCATTTTTCATAATCAAGAAAGCATCATCCATGTACCGACAATAAAATTCGAGTTCAATAATAACATCCTTCAAAGGCCTGTTTTCTAGTTTTGCAAGGAAAATGTCGCCTAGAATGGGTACTAGTTTTGACCCCATTGCCACACCTTCGATTTGTGTATATAGTTCCTTATTAAATAAAAAGTAGACATTCATTGTACATTTCAAGAGAAGCTCTTTCATAAAAGATATAGTAATGCCAACATCGATGTTTCGTCTTTTGAGCTCTTCGCACACAAAGTCCACTGTTTTCATAAGTGGTATACTGGTGAATAAGGAAGATACGTCAAATGATATCATGAATTTATTGTCAACATTTAAATCTTTTATCCTTTCAACAAATCCAAAAGTATCCTTTACACTGTGTTTCACCAACATGGTATGAAAAGGCTGTAAGATTTCGACTAACCATTTGGCTACGGGATAGTATGGTGAGTTTAACATATCTAATACTGATCGAAGCGGTACACCATTTTTGTGCACTTTAGGCGAGCCATATAGTGTGGTGAGAGCAGGCTGCTGGTTAATTGGTAGACATTAATCTACGTCAGTGTCTAGGTCACTAATGTTGGCCGTGAGAAAATATGAACAAGGCTGAGTCAACAACCAATCACAGCAAACTTAACGTGGGCAAATATGATTCGCAGATAGATGGCTCCACTTTCCGAGGTTACCCGAAACAACCAATCAGAAGGCTGCGTTTGTCTACTTGAATAAGCTTTAATAGTGTACAGGAAATGCATATAAATACGTGTTGATCTCCGTAATAAGAGGATCTGTTACCGGCCCTTGTCTTCTGTTGTTACAATAGTCTTGGTGTGAACGGTCCAGTGCATGCATTGATTTTAGGTTTGGTTTTGACCACCTACAACTCTATTACAACGTAATCCTATATTTGCTAACATTGTTCGACAAGGAACGCTTATGTTTACGAGATGGTGATCAACACAGGTATTTACAATCTGTGACACTTAAAAGTGTTCAGACTGTGTTGAAGAGGTTTTTATAGGAGGCTTTTTTCCGTTGAATTCTGTAAAGTAAGTCTGCAAAGTACTGATTTTATAAATAAAAAATTGGAAAAGCAATAAATATCAAGAAATACCAGAAAGCTGTTTTATTATTGTCGTTTACGTATAATCAACTGTGTATACTCTCCGATTCTATTCGGAATCTACTGTAGAATCCATGTTATACGTATTTAATTGCCTTCAATTTAACTAATAAGACGACCAGTGACTTTCATAGTTTCAATACTTCTGATGTTCTTAAATGTTTGAAATCTCTTAAACCTTCCCAGAGTCTAGGCCCTGATGGTATACCTGCCATTGTTTTAAAGAAATGTGCTGATATTTTAAGTAACCCACTTACAAGCATTTTCAATACTTCTTTTTCTAATAATGTTGTACCTTCTCTGTGGAAAGATATTAAAATCATCCCTGTACCCAAGTCTGGTTCTGGAGATAGTGTTAAGTTTAGACCAATTGCCATTACCTCTCCTTTTTTGAAACTGATGGAGAAATTACTGTTACAAAAACTCATTCCCTCCCTAAGCTTCTCAAACGATCCAAAGCAGTTTGCTTACAAACAGGGTAGAAGTACTTTGGATGCTGCTGCTGTGTTTCATCACAACATTGTATCCTCCTTAGACAAAGGGGCCAAGTATGTCCGTTGTACTTTCCTTGATTACACATCTGCTTTTGACTCTGTACCTAGAGGCCTTTTGTTAAACAAGCTTAGCCTTACACAAACTGAGTCCTGGGCTATCAACTGGCTGCACTCTTACTTCTCCAATAGGATGCAGTACACGGTATATAATGGTGTAGCTTCCTCTCCTTTGCTTACTGAAGCTGGTGTTCCTCAGGGTGCTGTTCTCTCGCCGTTTCTCTTTTCCTTCTTCTTACATGACTTACCTCTCTCAGACGAAATCAACTTCGTCAAATATGCAGATGACCTGACTGTTTCGCTTCCCGTTAAGTCTCAGTCAGACTGCTTCAAATTAAATAGCTTCCTGTCGGACATCAGTCAGTGGTCTAAACTAAATGGCCTCATGCTGAATCCCTCAAAATGCCAGACTGTCGACTTCTCCTTTAGGCATAAACGAGATCTACAAACACTAGTAAGCACTCATGATGCCTGTAGAATTGAGGGGACTATAATTGAAACAAAGTCTAATGCAAAATACCTCGGATTAGTTATATCTTCCGACCTTACTTGGTCATCTCATATCCAAATGATTTCCAAGAAAGTGTTTCGTCTAACCTACTACATTAAGAAACTCAGACTAACTGGAGTCCCTCAACCTCTGCTTTCACAATTTGTCAACTCTCGTATCCTACCTATTCTACTTTACTGTTCCCCGTTAGTCTTTCCTGGGTTACTGAAAAAGGACTATACCATCCTGAGAAGGATGTTGAAGGTAGTTAGTAGGACTAGCGGTGTAAAACTCAGTCAGCTCGTCACAACATTAGTGGATAAGCATCTGAATACATGCGAGAAATGGTCTAAAACCATACTCTCTGACCCCCAACACCCCCTCTATTCCCAACTCTCTCCTTGCATCTCATCAGGTAGAACCAGAAATCAGTACAAAATAATATATGCTCGTACAACCAAGTATAGGAACTCAACGATACCATATTTGGCCCGTGTTCTAAGTGACAGAGACAATGTTAAGCGTGAAACCTATGACTTGCTTTGTTGTTAATAACATAATTTTGGCCCTTGTTATTTCCCCCTTATACTCTCTTATTTGTACTCTATAGTGAACAACCTTCTTAAACATACTTAGCTACTTAATATTATTATCATTGGCTTACTTTTTTGTACTTTACTCTATTCCTTCTTTTGTGTATCTACTGGGTCCGACTATATTATCACTATGATTATTAAAAATTGTCCTGTCATTAACCATCATGTAATATTAGTTTTGTGGTTGTTCTTTGTTCGGCACTATTTAACTGACAATCTTGTTTGTGAACGCCACTATCACCATCTTAAAAAATTTTGTATTATGCATGATTCCTCACACTACCACTACAAACACTGCATTAGTGCTGACAATAAAAAAAACACAACCTGAAATGTTTATTTTATGATTGTTTAGTGTTGTTCAATCAAATTAACTGATCATCTTGGCTATAAACATTCTTAAGAACATCTCATAATTTCTTGTATGATTATAGCTGTTACTGTTCACCACGCATACACATATCATAGCTTCCACTACCCAATACTGAAATATTTTTTTCATTATTGGTGTTTATCTTCCTTTCTACTTGGTATTTTTATTTGCATTTTTTTTCTTTTGTTTTTCTGTTATTTCTGTTTCTTTTTTGGTTTTTTGTTGTGTTTTTTTATATTTATTTATTTTTTTGTAATACTCCTTTTAAATGTACGATGAAATTAGATGCAATATTGTAGATATGTGCTGAAAATTCCACACTGTACCACAAGTACTGTTTCTGGAATAAAGCGAAATTGTTATGTTATGTAATTTAAATTTTCCTGTCGATTGATTGGACTGAAGTGCTCGGTTTCAAGTTGACATGTGGGCTATAGTTACTGGGTTAGAGCCTCGGTGAGAACATCATCACTCACTAAGAAATGCAGGTCTGTCTGTCTGTTTTCGACATAGAACTTTGCACAAATGTGCACCAGTTCAAGTCGCCACACTCCGTGTAGCACGCGAAGCAAGAGAAGAAAGTACAAGAAAAGCATAATAGAAACAGTGAGCAGAGGTGTGAGACAAAGGAATAGTAATAAAGAAAAACAAAACAGTTTCATTGGAGATCATAAGTCACAAGGAGTGGATGCATCTGCGCCACTGAGAACGATTTTGAGCCATGTCACCAATTGTTTCCAACCATAGATTTTTACCGTCCCGAGGACCCCAGCCTGGAAGTCTACACCTTCCTACATGGCTTAGACCAACTGTTGTGGATTTCATTGACTGATGCCAAGTTTTTGTTTGACCGCCACTAGCTTTTTTCCAGCCTGACCCTATATCCGCTAACATTGCTCGTCGAAGGAGGCGATGACTTGGCATACGTAACACATGTCCTAACCATCTCAGTCTTTGTAGCTTCACGACTTCGTCGATTGATTTCCCCTGTTTACCTAGAACTCTACGCCTAACCTCCATGTTGCTCACTTTATTATGCCACTTTACACGGGAAATAGAGCGCAGGCACCTATGATCAAACACAGCTAGTCATCTTCATGTCTTCCACTCTCAGTGACCAGGTCTCACAGCTGGCCATAAAGGAGGACGGAGCGGACTGATGAGTAGTACACCCTCCCTTTCGTCGATAGTCGAACATCTCGTCTACGCCAGAGTCGGCGTAAACTGGCAAATGCGAAACGAGCCCCTTGTATTCGTGCTGAGATTTCGTCAGAGATCAGCCCGTTGGGGCTGATGGTACTTCCCAAATAAGTGAAGCGGTCAACGTGTTCTACCACTTCACTTCTTATTTTTAAACTAGGCGTCGATGTAGTCCAGTCCTGTAACATCATCTTACATTTCACGGCGGGAGCG